AACGAGGCACCGCCACTTAGGCCGGGAATTACCTGGATGCGTTTAGAGAATATCGAAAAGATTGTTGGACATTGAAAAGAACAATGTCTGTGGAAAAGGTTCGTTGGATAGTAATTCTTGTCTACGAGAGAGTTTATGATCGATAAGTAAGTGCTATCGATTCGGGTACTTCAGGGCGAATAATAGAGAGCGAGAAGTGTTCTCTTAATTGGTATGCAAGTTTTAAGAGCTTATATACGTTATTCTACTGAACTGCCGTGGCACTAAGCTAAAAATTACTTCGAAAGATTTTTTATTTAAAAAAAAAAAAAAAAAAAAAAAAGAAAAGAAAAAGGAATGATATTTGAAAAATTGTCAAAGTTCGATCAACTACGGCCGGAAACGGCTTAGACTTAGGATTACTAAGAGTAATTGTACTACGTTTTATATATGTAATCGCTGAAGAAACGAATAGAATAGAGTAATTACATAATAATTCTATAACAAGAGCCTAAAAAAAAGATCACTACGGAATATTAATACAGGATCCTAGAAAGGCGCTAAACTAGGAAATTATACCATAAAAATGTTTCGAGACATTCGTCGCCCGCAGGATTCGCCAAGATTCAAAAGTTCACGATCGAATTTAACAATATTAATAAATTTTCTTTCGCGAATGTTTTCCACCGAATATCCGAATATCCTCCACGTTTTTTTTTTCAAATATATATGTTCACGCGTTAAGAAGAAAGAGAGAGAAATATATATATATATATATTTAAATATATAAATTTATATAAATCTGGCTCGAACAACGAATCGAAAAGAAAACGTTTCGTGTAAACGATCGATCTTGCCCGGTACATCCAAACAATCCAGATAATTCTCAAAGACGTCGGTGGCGACGCCCATGTAACAACGTCCCCTCGGTAAATTACTTGCTATATCGTGTATACCAATTACTTTTGAAACGTAAACTGTATATATCCTTTCCGTGATAGAAGAGTGTTCGAATTTCTCTCGATCGCGAAATTCGTACGCAACGATATTGACAGTATATTAAAATCGTGTGAACTGAGCCGCGTATTATCAATTAATTATCAATTAATGTCCAAAAAAAAAAAAAGACGCGTGGAGGTGTTTTTCGCAGAAAAAAAGA